ACCTTTTGGATTGATGGTAAAATTACCAGCCATATCAAACCAAACAGGTGTTTCATCCATATTATAAATATTCCTTAATTCAAATGACTTTTCAATTCTTAGGTTAGTAACAAATTGGTGAAACTTTTCTAATTGCTCTTTAGTTTGATTAGGAAACTTTTGAGATATTCTAGTTTTTCTCCACAATGCTAACCTATATTTTTTCATAAAAGCAGTTAACCAGCGGTAAGATGTTTTAAAATTTGACTTACTATAAAGAACCTTCATATTTGATTCTTTTAAAATTTCCAGTATTCTACTTCGTATTATTGTATAGATAACTGAGATCTTATTTTTTTTATTCCATAATCCATTCATAAAGCCTCTTCTCAGCTTCAGGATAAAAGGCTTCTTGTTCAGAGCCAAGCCTCTTACTTTTTCCTTTTGTTTCAATTGTCCAGTTTGAACTAACAGCTACCTAATGTCCTACTATGCTACGATTGATGTCAAAGTGCTCTGCTGCTTTAATGTAACCATATTCTTTTGCATAGATAACAACTTGTATTTTTTGTTCGATAGAATATAAAGTTCGTGTATGTTTATTAACTTTTATAACCTTTCATTAACAATTCATTTTTTTGTAAAATGTAGCATTTTAGCTGAATAAAAAAAATTTTTTGCAATTTTACATGACATTTGATGATTAACATGATCAACGATCACAAAATTTATTGACAAATTAACAGATTTTAGATTGTACATCATAAGTAATCAAACATACTCAAAAATAAGCAACAATATAACAAAAATATGTTGCTTATTTTTGGAGAAATATGATATTAAAATAAAGTATAAAAAAATTAAATAAATAAATTTTATCTTTAAAATGATTAGATTAACTAAATGTTCTTTTTATCAGTTATTTATATTTGAAATAATCCAAATGACTAATGACAAATCATTTTATCATTTGAGGTCATTTGAGTCATTAGCTAATACTGTATTGTATAGCATACCCTTTATTAATATTTGATATAGAAATATTAACTGAATTAGATTGACAATATGAGAAAATAGTTATTAAAGGATATAAAATGTTAAGGTGGCATTCTTCAGCATAAAAAAAATATTAGATTAGAAAGTTTGTAGAACCTTTACAATAAAAAAGGTAATCTGTTAGGAGGAAATAAAATTTAAATTCAAATGTATCTCAACCTAAAAATCATATTTAACATATAAAAGTAAAATTAATTTTTTTCTGACAGTTTCTCCCTTTCTAATGCAAAGGTTCAATATTTTCAATATTCACTATTATGATACTAGTCACTAGATAGCAGAATCAATTCGATAAAAACTAAGAGCGTATTTCAAATGACTAAGCTGTAAAACTCTTAATTAAATAAAAGTTTCAAAAAGGGATGAGATTTTGATAATTTTAATTCTTAAATAAAAGTTTCAAAAAGGGATGAGATTTTGATAATTTTAATTCTAGCAAAACTTTTTGATAATTTTAGTCAAATTGCAAAGTTATGATTGCTAACTTTAAATAAAAGACGTGACTCAATTAACTGAGACTGTGTTATTTCAAGACAATATTAAGATGATTAGTAATGGTAAACTAATATTTTTTAGTGTTAAGTCTAAATCATAGAAAATATAACCAAAGATAAAGGCTTCTCTAACTAAGAGCTATTTTATTTTTTTAACAATATATGTATTAAAGAATATAATTATTTTAATAATAGATTTTTTTACAAATAAAAAAATTTAAGTTGAAATAATATTCAAAATCTTTATACAATTTCAATTCGTGACTTTAAATTCAAACCTATAAGTTGGTAATAAAAAAATTACCAGCCTCTAATAAAAGACATTATATTGAAAATAAATAAAAAATATATATATAAGTATGAATCATCCAAAACCTTTAACATAGAAAGAATTGCATCTGAAAACAAGTTTATTAAATATTATTTTATTACATTGCTAATAAATCCTTAAATCATTGTATTTCTTTTTTACTAAGCTTGCGTGTTTCTCATCAGAAGAAGCAATATTTGATGGATCTTCTACAATTGCTTTCCTTTTGAAAAACATACTTATATTGTTAAACCTAAATACTATGTCGTTAGGATATTAAAGCTTATTTGCTAACAGGGAGTTTGTTGTAAACTATGAAAGAAATAAACACAAATTTATTTAAGTTGAAGGGTTTTGTCATCTTATTGATGATTTATATTTTAAGGAAATAGATATTAATAAAGATATAGTTTTTATGTTGTTAAGATTATATTTTATTAATTATATGATAGAAACTTGTTAATTTGTCAGGATGATAATACAGGATATTTAAAATACAATTATAAGAAAAAGATAATAAATATAATAATGAAAGTAAATATAATTATGAAAATAAATATAGTAAATAAAGTAATGATAAACGTAATAATAAAGAAAATAAATATTACAATGATAACTATGATAGCAGTAAAATGAGTGAAAATAATGATCATGATTTTTCTAGTGAACATTAATGGCATTAACTGACACAGTCATTTAATGATGCAAATAGATTATCACTAATAACATGTTTTTTTTCAAAAGAAGAAGCAATCTTCAGTGAAACTGAACTTGAAGATTACCTTTTTACTAAGCTTGTGTGTTTCTCAATAGAAAAAAAAGTTGAGAAAGCAATATAACTGAAGGCTGAAATGATGAAAATAAGCATGAAAATGTGAAGTTTTATGATAACTTTGGAAGTATTTGAAGGATTAATATATGTGAATTTTATAAACAGTTTCTTATAAGAAATGCAGCTTATAGATATGTATTTGTAAGAAATCAAATTAGAGTTACAATTTAAATTATTTTATAGAATGATAATTTAATATCAAATTTCCTAACTTTATATAGTTTTTTTTTTAAGTATGAAGCTGACTGGGCTTATCCTTAACAAACTAGGATTTGTTTACTAGAGATTCTCATAAAAAGCATTACAGCCTTTACAGCCTTGTAATAATCACACTATTGTAAATCTTAAATATAATCAGTTAGAAAAAAATTTGTTATTATACAATGAATATAATTCTACTCACAAATGATAATTCTGGTCAAAATGTTATTTAAACTAATTTAGTTAGACTATAAAGATCAATTTTGGTAAGCCAAGAGGCTTTGGTAATATAATTAAGTAGAAAGATTTGATAACATAACTAAGCCAAAAGGCTTTAGAAACATAATTAAGCCAATGGCTTTTATAGTGCACCTAAGCCATATGTTAATAAATTTAAATTTTTTTTTTATTTTAATAACAAATTATATACACTCCCCAGTCAAAAGTATTGGACCAAAAAAAAGTTATTGCAACTTTTAAATTTATGACCAATTTTAATTTTTTAATTATAAAAAAAAATTAGTAAGTGAATTTGGATAATTTTTTTTTATTTTATTCATAAAAATATGAAATTTTTATTTATAAATTAATATTTAGTTAGAATGCTATTGCTATCTATTACAGCTTAAATTTTTCTTGGCATACTTTCTACTATATTTTCTAAAATTTCTGATTCAATTTCATACCACTTTTCCTCCAAAATAACCATTAATTCATTAAGATTTTTTGGATGTGACTTATGTTTACAGACCTTTTTTCTAAAACATCCCACAAATGCTCAATTGGATTAAGATCAGGTGATTGTGTAGATTAAAATATTGGTTATTTCATTTTTTTCTATCCATTTCTTAACTACTTTTGCCCAATAAACAGGAACATTATCATCTTGAAAAATATAATTTAAATTGGTTCCCAACTCATCAATAAAGGGTAAAAGATTATTATTTAAAATATCAATATATACAGAACCTGTTATTCTACTAGAAACTTGAATTAAAGGGCCAATCTTATTTTTAGTAAAACATCCCTACACTATAATGCCTTGATTTCCTGACTTTACTGTAGGAATTAAACAATTTATATCATATTTTCATGAGGATGACGCCAAACCTAGTGATAAGCATCATTTTGAAACAATAAAAAGTGAGATTCATCACTCCATATTATTGTATCCCACTCAGATTCCCAATCTTTTCTAGTACGACATCATTCTAACCTTTTTTTACAATTTACTTCAGATACCAAAGTTTTCTCTTTCCAGCACGACCATAAAAACCTTCATTATGTAAAGTATGCTTTATAGTACTAGAACTCACTGAAAATATTGATATCTGATTGAATTTTTCTGTAATTTCGTCTAAGGATTGTTGTCTATCCTTTTTAACGGTTTTTACAAGATATCTAACATTTCTCTCTGATAATTTAGGAGGCTGCCAGACCTAGGAGCATTGGTAATTTGATGTTTAGTTTTAAATTTTTTCAATAATATTATGAATGGTTGACTTAGGATGGTCAAGAATATTTACAATATCTCGCTCAACATGACCACCTTTTCAAAGGCCAATTATTTCACCTCGCTCAAATTCAGAGAGTTCTCGGGTTTTGGGCATTTTAAAAAAAATTATATTCGAATACAAGAAGTTCGTAGCTATGCAGGAAAAAAAAATTGACTCATTTGTATGCATTGGATCACGAGTATAATCGGCAAAATTACGCCAATTAGTATAACGAAAATCACGTGGTCCAATACTTTTGACCGGGGAGTGTACATTAAGTAAAAATTTTCCAAATTAAATTTTGCATATAAAAATTTTATTTATAAAATATTTAGAATAATTTATTATTAAGAAAAATAAAAAAGGATGTTACAAATAAGATATGTAACAATGTTGTTACAAATACATTTTTTTCTAACTATATTATATTTTAAAGCTGAAATGCTGGAATTTTACTACAAGCAAAATAATGGCCTTGAAGCTTAAGTAATTTGTTACCAAAATTATAAACTATTTTATTAAAATCAACATACAAACAACTCATATGTAAACAAAAACTTATTTCTTGCATGCTTAACTAATATACTTATACTATTATTTGAAATGTGCTATAGTTTTTCGTTAAGCCATTATCAAATTGGTTCTGCGGTTAAAGTGATTTTAGGTGATTCCAACGATTCCTGAGGTATTTCTTCGCTACAAATGACCCACAAGAAATCTTCCAAAATTTCTAAGCGCAATTCAGAAATATGACGACACTTATCTCGAATTGTCTTAATAGTTTCGATAGCTCGTTCAAATTCTTCCTTACCACCATCTATTATATCAAAAATTGCAAGGTTAATTTCTCGTAATGCTTGAATGCGGTTATCTAGCTTTGTAGCCTCCTCATAAAGTTTTGGATCCTCCACACCAGCATAAACTGTCTTCGCTAACATTTTTAGTTCATTTGTTGTTTTTCCTTTAATTTCTATTTTCCCAACATTCAAGACCTCTCCTAGCAAAATTAATAAATAGGAAACACCATCCGGTCTAAATCCTTGGCTTAAAAGTGCTTTAACTATTTCTTTAGGATTAATCGCATCTGAACGATCCTTTAAGTTTAAAAGTCTGGTATCTTTGTCATATTCCTTAGAAAGAATGTCGATAAACTTCTGATGATCGTCATCATCATAAGCTTTCATTGCGTTCCTCATTATATCATTAAGCTTTTCAAGAATTTCTGGAACTTTTATCTGTTCGACGCCTTTATTCCATAAATTGCTACCGGCCCATATTCCCAAACCAATGGTCAATAATCCAATTGGGCCCATAACTAGGGCCGCAAATGGGCTCACAAATACATGAATTCCGAAAGCAATTTTTGCTAAACCAGCTATTTTATACTGAACAGCATGATTTTGGACTTGTAAGATTTCTTCTTCAGGTATTTCATAGCGAACCAAACTGCGGTTTGCATTGAGCATTAAATCTGTCATTATTTTATTTATATCGTCGTCAATTAACCGTTGTTGAGAATTTTTTTCAAAAAAGGAAATCTGTCGATCTAATTTCACTAGAGCTTGCGTGTTATCAAAGTTATAATTCAGTTTAATCTCCGTAGATGGTTCTTCCGTTGCATTCCTACTTCTTACTTTATCAAATATTTTTTTTGCCTCGTTCAGTTCATGCGTGACCACATTACAATTCTTTAATTGTAACTTAATTGCCGACAAAGCAAATAACTGAGCTTCTAAAATTCTGTTGCATACATATAAGCATAATGCCATATTTCCCCGTAATCTTACTTGGTCTTTTAGTTGTTTAGCTTTATCAACAATTTTACAAGCTGCTCGGTATTCCTTATAGGCTAATAATCCATAATTCACGCTATGACGCTTTAGTCCTTCAGAAGTTAATTCTTTGATATCATCTTTATTTAACAGTTTTAGGTTATTCAATTGTCCTTTAGCTGCATTACGGTAATCAATCGTAATTTTCCAAAGATGGTTTGCAAATTTTTCATGCAGAGCCCAACCTTCATTTTTTAAGGTATTTTTCAATTCGTCCAAAAAGCTCTCTTTAAAATTTAGACCAAATCTAAATAGTCTATCACCTAACTTCTTATGCTCGCCTTGAAGGGAATACGGAGTATTAGGTTGACCCGTCTTATCGGGATGGAAATATAAAGCGAGTTTTCTGTAACGTTTATTAATTTCTTCCTCTGTAAACATGATATTACCAAATAACATTTCTTTTTTATGAGATGAATTCAACACATCTCGTATAAAATCTATTCTTTTTGAATAAGCCATTTTACTAGCTAATAATTTTAAAGAATTCAAGGAAGAAAAGTATTGCCGGTTATCATCTTTAATTTTTGAATTCCTAGACTCCTGAAACCTTATTAGTCCTTCATTGATTAAATTATTTGCTACATTACGGAAATTAATCTCATAATTAACGATTTCCTGATAACTTTCAAAGGTCGCAGGTTGTATCTCATTGAAGACTTTAAAAGAATTTTGTATATCTTTAACAACTTTAACATCTATAACATCTAAGATTTGAAGTTCTTTTATTAATTTTTCTACAGCTTCTTCCATAGGGACAGAAAAAAATGAAAATAAGTTGAAATGGTCATTGAATCTAGCCTTTTTATATTCGCCAGAAGAATTTTATAATCGTCAAAGGCAACTCACCTAATATTTATCGCGCGGAATAATTATTTTCTCACGATAAGCTATTCACCAATATGATAATAATAAACAGTTCGCGCCTTGGGTACACGGAAATTAGTTAGTCGAACATTTTATTAGATCAGCAAAGCCGCAAAATTTTCTATTATTTATTAATTATCGTTATTGTTCATTATTACGTGATCAAATCCACAATCTCTTGATTGTTTTTGGTTTTCAATCTTATAATTGGGGATATTAATAGTGGAAAATAATGACGAAAAATAGATTATTTTTAAAATACTAACAAATTTCAGCATGTGTTAATATTGTATATGGTCACAATTGTGGGCATTCAAGTCGTACAATTGCTAAACAATTGGGGTGTGGGGAAAACAACTTTTAATGACATAATTATATTCTCGCGAATGGTTAACAAATTTAACATCATTTAATTCCAATAACCTGTAAATAAATTTTTAAAAAAACCGATATTTCAAAGTTCTTTATTGTTAATCAAGTGATTTAAGTAATCAAATTATTTTCTCATTCAGCATAACAATCAAACTTGCTTGTTATTTTATTAATATCATATCTATCAATATCACTTTTTGCTTTTGGATATACATATATACTCAAAGATTGAGTTTAGATTATTAAAAGTAGTTACCATTTGTTTGTTTCTCAACAAGGTCAATATGGTTTTGAATTCTTTTATCATACAATGTAGAATCTCTCAAAGATCTGATGCTGATTCTAGTTCATTAAAATCCTTTTCACAAGAATAGTTTCTGAATAACAAATTAGTAATCAAATCCTTTTCACAAATCTAATCAGAGTAGACATTGAAAATGTTTAAACAAAAAACCTCACCTCTGACTAATGTCTTAAAATTACAATGTTTATTATCAATAATTATTGGTGAAAAACTAAAACTCAAAAAGAAACATAATGCATTTACCTTATTACAAAGAGAATTTCAAATCATTTCATACATTATAAACTTCTAAAGCATTGAATAATCCATAATAATTCTTAATTTTCATCACAATTTTCATATAAATATTATGATAACATTACTTATAAATGTTAAATGAAAGATTTTTTTTAAAATTGTTTTAAATCCTTAGAAATTTTAATAAGCATTACTAAGTAAAAAATATTATAGTCTTGTTCATATTATATAAAGTGATTAATTTGTTTAAGTTTCATTTACATTACTTTGAAATTATATAGATGACATGATGAAAAATATTTGATTTTACTATAATTATGATGTATTGGCTGGTTACAAAATAAAATACAAAATTGATTTAATATAAAAATGATCTGTATATAATATTTAAATGACTATTACATTATAATTTTTAAAGATAGTAAGAAAAGAAAAGATCTAAATTAAGCAGCAGCCTGAATGTGATTAAATATTCTATAAAAAAATAAAAGAACAAAATCCTTAAAAAAAAAGGAAAAATCAAAAATAAAAATTAATATCAGAAATTTAAATGCTATAAAATTTAATAAATAAATGTCGTAGAATTAAATTATAATTCAGCTAAAAAATAATTTTTATGTATGCTACAGTGTGCAACAAAAGTTTTCAGAATTAAAATTTGATGTAAAAAATCATGATTTTCTTCTGCAATATATAATCTATTAAATAACTTTTTTATGTGATATTATTGTATTAGCCATTTTTAGATATTATATAATAGAAAAGTATTGGATCTTTTAACAGAACAATAACCCTAAATACACAGCCAAGAAAACTAAAAAACTTCTTTCTAAATGATGTCTGAAGTTGTTAGATTAGTGATTGAATAATCTGGATTTAAATTTGAATGAAAATTTGTGATCATTTTTGGAAGGAATATGTGAAAAAGAGGTCAACAATCTTGTAATTAATAAAAAATTAAATTACTATAGATGTTTTTATAAAAAAGTGTAAGAGGAATCAAGTCTGAAATACTTCTTAAACTTAGTTTGTAGCATGCCAAAATGATTAGAACAAATAATTGAGAAGGATGGCAATAAGCTAAGCTATTGATTTAGCTTAATATTTTTTTTTGTTATATAATAAAATATATAATTTTAAATTTTCAAGTATTTTTGAGTTATTTTCAAAGTATAATAAATAAAACGTAATTCTGAATACTTTCGTCATGCTCTATAAGTCTGAAATATAAAATTTAATTAAATCATCGATAATTGAAATTGTAAAAAAAAATTGGCATATTGTAATTGGTTAAAAATTTTTTTTTTATAAGTTATCTAAAGATGATTATTTTAAAATAAATTTTGATTTTTTGATAATGCAATGCATATTTACAATGTGTACCTTTGCACAATTAGATTTACTTTGACAAAAAATAAGTTTTAATTATTTTATTAATTTTTTAATAATGTGATGCATAGATTTATGATTAGTATTTTTACTTTGGAAAGAAATAAGTCTTGATTATTTTAAAAATAAATTTTAATTTTTGATAATACAATGCAATGAGAACTTTTGTATAATTAAATTTACTTTAAAAAAAATAAATCTTGATTTTTTTTAGATTTTTTGATAATATAATGCATAGATTTATGATGAGAACTTTTACACGATTAAATTTACTTTTAGAAGAAATAAGTCAATTATTTGATTTTTAATTTTAATTTAAAAATATAAATTATTAATAATTGAAAAATTATCGATTAAAATCCTATTTTATCCTTAACTTAACCTGATATTTCTTTAATATTTCTATTGTATTTCATTATTTAATTCTAATTAATATCGATCTTATCCTGATCAAAATTTTAATCGTTATCTATTAAAGTAGCTCTATTAATAACTATAATATAAGAATAAATTTTTGATTATAAAGTTATTGCATAAGATATTGCGTGAGTTATCATATGAGTAAATTTTCAAAATTCATGTGATTATTTTTTAAAAGATGTAAACAAAAATAATATTAAATCTATATATATAACACTACACTATTTTTTACGCTATTTTTTTTTACATTTTTTGTTATTTCTTTTTGTGTTGTTATTATAATAGAATTATAAGAAAAACTTAACAAAATACAAAATTTCCTTGAAGAAATTGTTTAAAACAATAACATTGCCATTTTAAATAATAATACTCAGATTTTAAAAGTACAGTCAATTCTTTTTACAATGAATTTTGATATAACAAATTTTACAATATAACAGATTTTCAGTGTCAGACAAATTTTTAAATATAAAAAAACTCTTACTATACTGAATTAGTAATTAAAAATTTGTACTATATTTAATAAATTAAAGTTAAAAAATTTATATATAAAATGATCTTTTTATAATGAATTGTCTCTATAATGAATTTTTTTTTTGATATAACGAAGTTTTGCTTAAAATAAATTTTACTAGATTTATGTATATAAAATTTTGTAGTTTTCTACACCTAATTTTTAAATAAAATTAAAAAAATGAATAAATATTCATATTACATATTGTGTCTTGTATTTCATATTTTTTTTACATATTTTATTTTTTACATATTTTTTTTCTTTGTAAAATACCAATCATACTAAAAGTAAATTAATCAACCTACTAACAAATAAGATGAACTTTAAAAAAAAATGAAAGTCTTTTATAGCTGTACAAAAAAAAAGAATTTTGTTTGAAAAAAATATCATCACCTTTTTTAAAATAAAAAGCTTTAGTTAATAATATGACATTAGTAAAGGTATGGTAAATAACATTTTAAAAGAGAAAGACCATTAGCTTTCTGTGAATATTAATTTATACTAAACCAATTTAAAATATAATAAGAAAACTCTATTTCTTCTCATTAAAGAAGCGTTAGTAATATAGATAGATAATGCACTCAAAGCTAGCCTTATTATTACTGACATATTCTTTTAACAAAAGCTTGAGTTTTGCTTTTTTATTAAAGGAAAATAAGTTTAAAAGGTCTAGTAGTTATTAGGACTCTTAATCAAATTGAGTAGGATCGATAATTGATTGAGTCAATCAATTTTTCAATCACAGATTATTGAATTTGATTAAATTTAGACTAACTTTAATTGATTTATAATCGATTTAAATTTCCTATAGTTGATTGATCAACAATTACAGTTCACAATATTAATATCCAAAATTTATCATAACATATAAAAGTATCGCAAATTTTATTATTTTTATTTCAAATTTATAATATCAATAGCTTATTATATAAAAAACAATATATTTAAAGAATTAATAATTTATCATATATCCATTTTTTCCTATAATCATACTAATCTGATCTAATATACTATCTACTAAGTTAAAAAAAAATGTTTTGATCAAGATTTTTCCATTTTCTCTGAATTATGCTTTGAAAAGCATTCGCGTTAAATATATTTTTCTCTAATCCAATCATTAACCTTTTTCTTCACTTTTTCTTTAAGAATCACTTACAAATTCTCGATTGGATTTAAGTCAAGAGAGTTAGAAGGCCAATCAATTACTGAAATATTATTCGTCATAAAAAATTGACAAGTAAGCTTCGTAATATAGGTTAGTATATTATTCTGTTGAAAACGCCATCCATCACCAGCACGGTTAGCATTAGAAAGCAATTGAAATTGAAGAATATTCTGATATTTCATAGCATTCATTTTTTCTGTAAATAATATTACACCAATTAGTCCTTGATAGCTGAAAACACCCTAAACATGAACTTTATATGGATGTTTTACTATAAGACATGATAGACGTAGATTACCAATTTTGTAGCATACAAGTTGAATATTGCAGAACGTTTGAAAAGTATTTTTATTAGAAAATATCATATGAGATTAATTATCTTGGTGATAGTTTATAGCCTATTGAAAATAAGCTTCAATATGATTCAGCTTAAGAAGAGAAATCGCTCTTAATCAACAAATAACATAATTAAGTTTATTTTTAAG